GGGTGGGACGAAAAAAATGTAATGTATGGTATAAAATGTAACTAGTTCTCATAGATTTTTGATGAAACATCGAAGAGTTTGTTAAAATATCGTACATTTTGCAGTGACATTCGTGTTCACCTTATTTCAGAATAACAACTATTTATTTGGCGTTTGTGTTGCAATTTTTATAAAAACACTTTTTGTTTTGATTAGGACGATACGGTTATAATCATAAATTCGAATATAAATATCAGTGCGACAATTTTGACCTTTGAACTGATATGCGTGCAAACGACTTTCCTTCTGCCTGACGGCATTTACATAGCACGGGTTTGTTAAAATTTTGCAATTTTGTTTGCCGAATTTAATCTAAAAAGAGAGCAGTATTATTTGCCAATTTTAATGTGTTTTGAGGACTTGAATTATTTTCTCTGCATTTTGATTTGTTCGTCCCACCTCCACGTTGACGCACACGGAGATGTCTACTTCTGGCGGGATGTTTTTTTTTCAAGTAGTATTATTTGTAACCCCACCCTCTTCCAGAACACTTCTATTGTAATTACATACCAATGCTGAACCAATGCGTCAATACCAAGCATAGGCTGCCGTCCAAGCTAGTATGTATATTACTGACAACAGTACTTGGTTTTCAGTAAACACTCAGTAATATATTTAATATAATGCCTCATGGTCTAATTGTTTTAGGTGAAAATATCAAAAATCTAAATATTTTTAGAAGTGACCGACCCAATAAAGCAAAAATAGTTGTCAACGCCAAATCATGGACACAAGTTCACGATGCCCCCATTATTGTTGGGAATAAGCTTAACCTTAATCTATATAACGTAGGTAATTTGTGCATATGGGTGAAAACACGTTCTCTCTTTCACTGTTAAAACCGACAGTCATGTGCGCAAGCTTAGATAAATAACAAATGAGAGGTTTCGTAGGTTCAAATGAACGAGTTAGCGTTTAGTAGCTTCAGCGGTATGGTGTGTATAGTGATTGCTCATGTTTGATTGAATTCATTGTCAGTTAATCCTTCCATGTGTGTCAGATAATGACGATTATCAAACCTACATGGCATGTTAAAAAAAAGCTTGAAATTTGGTCGAATTTACCGCCCATCGGTTAATTCTTTCCTGTTCGTGACACGACGGTGAATATTCAATTGGCACGTTATGATGCAGAGCGCTTAATTAGAGAGAATGTTTGATGTTTATTGATACAGGCCATATTACAATGACGTTTGTGTAAATATGTGCCCGTAATTTTTATAACTTACACTTTGGTGTTCTTCACTACATGGTGGCGGAAATATTTGTCTCCGAGGAAGTTCGTAACTGGGTAGGTCGATCTGATCATGACTATGCTTAGCTGTATTTGTGTTTAGAATTCTACACGCTGTCTGTGACGTCGGAGATTCGAATTGCGCATGTCCAGTTTGTCATTGTACGATCGCTTTCACTACACGTCATTTCAAGCTGTCTTATGGCAGTGCGACATGGCGTAACGCAGAGAGCGTGTACTTACAGTTGTGAGGCGTATTAATGTAATGTGATTTATTTTCGAAACAGATTTATCAAAATAATATGATCTAATAGCAAAGAACATGAGCAAATGTATGTTTATTAAATACTGGTGCTTTACACATATTTAAATTGTTTTAAGAAACATTACAACATAACAAAAGTGCATACTAAGGCATTGTTTTATAAAAATCCTCAACAACTGTCGAAGAAGAGGGAAATTTGAAATAATACCCACAAAAGTACTATAGGAAAATGTACAAGTCGTTGAACACGAAAGAAACGGCCGAAACCAATGCGC